GACCGGCAGGCATTGGGGGAGTCCCTGTTCATCCAAGCACCTCCCAGAGTAACAAGGAACAATGGCCATAAGCTGATTGAGCGTAGGTTCAGGCTAGGCATCAGGAGGCGCTACTTCACAGTCAGGGCGGCTAGGATCTGGAACCAACTTCCAAGGGAAGTGGTGCTAGCTCCTACCTTAGGGGTCTTTAAAAGGAGGCTTGATAACTACCTACCTGGGGTCATTTGACCTTAACCTTAGTAGGGGTCATAAGAGCCCTGTATTCATTCCTGCCCAGGGCAGGGGGTTGGACTAGATGATCTGCTCAGCTCCCCTCCAACCCTACTTCTATGAATCTATGCTTGAAGTTACATTTTTAAAAAACATAACTATGACATTAAGTGAGGAGTAGCTGTATTGGAAAGAGAAAAGCAGGTTAGTCTGACTGGAGGCAAATAGGGCTTTGCAATAAGCCATGTGCTTCAGGAGCAGGTATGTCTGAGAAATAGGTAACCAACTCATTTGCACCAGAATGTGCCTCTGGACTCAGCTCCAACTGTTTTCATAGAACTTGCATAACTGTTATTCACATGAATTTGTTGGCCGGGACCCAAGGATTAGTTGTAGGGTGGACAGTAGTGTATATATAGGGAGACTGAGGCTTCTTCACCCTCTGCTTCACCCCACACTCCTGCTCCTCCACTCAATCCCTGAAATGATCCCCCATCTCCTATATCAGTGTTTCTCAACCCATGGGTCGCCACCCAAAAGTGGGTCGCAAGAAGATTTCAGAGGCTCACGAGCCACAGGTTGAGAAACACTGATCCCAGGAAAGTGCCAAGACTGCAGCATGGCAGAGTGGCAGCTGTGACCAGGCTGCCACAAGCCTCCTCTCCTCTTCCCTCCAGCCCATGCCAGGGGCTGGACTTGCTTCACTGCTGCCTGCATGAGTTGGAGTTGCTGCAGCCACTGCACTCCAGCCTGAGCAGGACGGGGGCATCTGGGGTCCCTCCGGCAGGGCTGCGGGTGCAGAGAGCTGCAGGTCAGGAGTGAGGGGCACTGGCAGGGCTGGGGGGACAGAGGCTGTGAGTAGGGAGTGAGGGACACCAGCATGGCCCTGGGGAGGCCAGGGACCTTGGGTTGTGCACCAGCAGGGCCAGGGGGTGTGGGTCAGGACAGGACACGAACCTTTACAAATGGGTCCCGGTAAAAAAAAGGTTGAGAACCCCTGTCCTACATTACCCAGCTACATCACATCTTTATGCTGAGTAGCCCCTTTGCTCTCCAAGTAGTCTCAGTCCTATTGTAGTCTCAGTCTCCACTAGGATTCTGCAACAGTTAAGATCCTGTTTGGCAAGGTACTGAATGGTCCTGTCTGGTGTTGATAACCCCACCCCAAAGAATTCCTATAAGACAGGTAACTGTTCAACAGCTTTGTGAACAATCATGACAGACTCTGGGCCCTTGGATTGAACTCCCTCCTGCTTCTCAAAGCAGGAAGCATTAGAGTAAGCATAACTTTACAAGGGAATTACCTCTAATTTACCACACAATCAGTGCTGTGTGTTTGTTTGCTTTAGGATCAAGGAATGCATTATATTGCTTCTCACCCTGAAATATATGGTTTACAAATCCTGTGTGGCTCTTGGCCTCATAAAAAAAAAGAAAAAGAAAAATGAAAGGGACTGCTTTTCCCTCCCCTTCCCTCAAAGCTAGGAAATCATTTAGCTATTCTGCAGAAGCAAAATCTACATCCTCAGGTTATAAATTGGTGCTACTGCGATGGCCAGAGGCAGTCACTTCATGCACAAGGAATGCGTAAGCCTAGAGGCTACCAAGATGAAGCTCTTCTAATCTCTTTGACAGAGAAATGTGAGGATGGCCCATTTTTGCATTAGAGAGTAAGCTCTTACTTTAACAATGTTCAAATGCTAGAAGTAAACTTCCCCCCACTCTGCAAACAAAGCAAAGTGTTCTGCATTTTTTTTATGTGAAGCAAATAGCAATGCTATTCATTTCTTCTTGGAAGAATTTGAAACCAACCCCCTTGTACAGCTTGGAGCTAACCTGCTAGTAAAGAAATGTTTATATTTTCTTTGCAATCATCTGTCAGTACACTGCCGGATAAATTACTTAGATGTCCGATGGAAAGAAAGCCTCTTGGCAAACTCTATCACTGGGGAAAAGCCAGTAATGTAAATTAAAGAGAACTGAGCTTTGTCCAGGAACCATGTAAAACATAGAATGTGAAGATGGTGTTTTCTCTGTCATGTCAGAAACTTATTTAAAGACAAACAAAGAAATAGGGTAAAATGTAAGGGTTTCTATTAGTGGATCACGTGATTTTGGTCCCAAATTAGGGCTCAGGAAATATTGGAGGAGTCATTCTTTGCAAATCAAAACATCCTTGTCACACTGTCACCAATTCTTAGTGGGGCGCTAGCACTGCACACAGCCACTGACACACTAGATGTGTGCTAACATTGAATCTCCCACCTCATCCCCTGTCATGCACCTTTTCTATGTTTGTTTCATTCCTACAGAATTGTCATGCCAGGGAGCCTGTAAGAAGATATTATCCTGATGGGCAGATATTCTCTCTTCTTTTCCCAGATGGGACAGGACAGGTTTAGTATCCAGTAAATATGTGTTGCACAGTGTGACAAACTTAACAACAAACCACTTTAGCAACCCACCCAGAGAATTTTTGGGTGGGAATTTTCTCTTGTGCTAACAGATAAATCACACCTCAATTTTTTTTTATAATATAATTCGTGTTCCAGATCAGATTAGCCAAATCAATGCCAAATCATATCAGCTGAGCACAACTCAATCATTCCAAAAACCATATCGACTGAGCAAGCAGAACTCAATCATTCTAAATACCATGTATGATGCTACAACTGGTGAGCATCCCCCATCCCAGACCCTTCACCTTGGGACTTCAGATACTTCCAAATCCATTGGCAGGCATCCTACGTGTAGACCCAAACCTGGAGGTCTTGGGGTTTGGATGCCCCCAGATACTACAGGCAAGCATCCTCCATCCCAGACTCTTTAATCCAGGACTTAAGATCCTTCCTACACTCGATCTCAGCCCACAAGAGGCCAAGAATACCTTCATTAGAACTGTGTTGACCTACATGGCCCTGGGGAGGCCAGGGACCTTGGGTTGTGCACCAGCAGGGCCAGGGGGTGTGGGTCAGGACAGGACATGAACGGTTACAAATGGGTCCCGGTAAGAAAAAGGTTGAGAACCACTGTCCTACATTACCCAGCTACATCACATCTTTATGCTGAGTAGCCCCAATGGCTAAGGGGTCTGGCCACTGGTATGTGGTATGTGGCAGAAATCTACCCTCCTGCCTCCAGGTTTTTTGTGAAGTGTTTATTTTGTGGAAAGTGTACTTTCAATATGCTGTTTGTTCCTTAACTGTTCCCTCAGTTATCCATCTGGTAACATCGCCATCCTGATCACGTATGTCAACAGAGTTCTGTTTACATACGTCATTCTCGAGGATAACTCTTACACAGGGATCCGAGCGTTCTTCACCCCTCACGGCTATGCAACATGCTACCAGCAGAATAGGCTCTTCTGGTAAGCATGAGTGCTGTGAGAAGGTTTTCTTGACAGCAACCCTATAAAGAGTGATTTATACAGAGTCAGGAAGTCTGGGGGTCATAGGCAGTGATTTGCCTTGTGGGGTTGCAGCACTAGCAGCTAGGAATGCTGAGTGGGCAGGATTGTGAGGAGCAAGTGAAGAGCTGGCACACACATAGCAGCTGCAGTGGTGCCAGATCTAAAGAAGGAGCTGAGGCATGTGCTAGATACCCAGCAAGGCCATGAGAGGGACTGCCAAGGAGCTGGAACCTGCTTGTGCACTGCTGCCACTTCGCCCCACCCTCGCCCCCTGACTCTACCCAGCCTGGCCCCAGCATAGCTCTGCTCTGGCTGCAAGCTGCATTCATGCGGGAGCCTTGGGGAGGGGAGAGGGCAGGAGGTGGGGAGCAAAGAGAACTGGCAGCAACTCGGGCACCGCTTCCAGCTGCCCAACCTCAGCATCTCTGTGGGCCAGAAAGATCCAGTGGCTCCACTGGCCATGCCATACACTGCCAACCTCTGGTGTTACCCATGCAGCTAGGTACCACCATACGTGCAACAGAAGTACAGAATCTGGAGACTAGAGGGACTCACATGTGGTGCGGCACCATGAACTTAGGCAGGGGCCATTCAGCTTAAGATGTAGTATCCCATGCTGTTGTTGATGGTGCATGTGACACAGCTTTCTTCAAAAAGCTGGTGGCTGCTACCCACCCCAAATCATGCACGTTAATTGCAGACTTTGGTCTCAAGTCTGCAATTAAGTCTGCAATTTTATGATTTAAGTCTGAAATTTAATAAATTGAGTTTTAAGCAGAATTATACTCCCAGCCACTTGCTAGTCCCCTTCCTTAAATTGGATTAAACCTAGGTATGTCAATTCTTCTGTTTTTGCCTTCCACTTCAGTTTGACTTGAGATCTTAGTGTGTGCCTCTGAAGGGAAATTACAAGGGCCAGTATCTTTGTAGCTTGATGGCACCCTTGCTTTTAGTTTGTTTCTCATTTCCGGTGAATGCTTTAGACCATAAAGAATTGCTCAGGTGACCAATTTGATCCCTAGTCTAAATCCTAATATCTAATGATATGTGGTTTCCTGTAGGGATCACAGCTTTTAAGCCCTCAAATTCTAATTTCCACCCCCAAGAAAGTTTACCTCCTAAAAGCTGGGGAATGGAGAAGATCAATACAGCACGTAAATATCAGTTTTTCACTTTAATCTCTTAAACTGGAAAGCAGGTATGTGCTGATTTGAATTTTACAAGTCCTGCCTGTGTTGAAACTAATTAATGGACACATTAAACATCTAACTGGCTATTACAAATCATTGTAAATAGCCTTTGTAATAACACTTCCATAAAGACTACTGCAATCACAGTATTTGCCTCCAGACACATTGCTCTTTCATCCATCACTAAGAAGTAAGGTTTTTACAACATGCACCCACAGTAATTCCTAGCAGCAGTAAAATACCACTGACCCCATCAGCCTGACCCTGTATTTTCTACCCCCCTCCCCATCTTGCTTTCTTTCCATAACTCTCTGCTGCCCTCTTGCCCGGTACTACCTCTGTGTTCTCTCTAAGAACACAGTGCTCTTTTTATTTTCAGACACATTCCCTCCATTTATTTCCCTTATTTTATTTACATTTATTTTTCCTGAGACTTTTTCTGGCCTAAGCTTGTAGAACACATTGCCTCATTTTTAATATTCTTGGCAATTGAGTCGTATCACACCACCTACACTTGTTCACATTCGGATAGCAGTTGGACCACAACAGCAGTCATGGATCAACAAGAAAAATATCCCCAGTGCAGCAGTAAATCCCAGAGAGAGTTAAGCATCATAGTCACAATCCCATGTTTGCCACAAGACTGAGTTTATGGAAATGCGTGGCCTCTGTGTAAGCTTAGAACTTAAGCCTACTTAACCATGTTTCATATGCTGCAGTCAGGCCTTACAGATCTCTTGGCTCCTCTCCCTACGTCTGTCCTTGTGTTAAACCACAACTGTTCCACACTCCCTTTAGCATTAGCGCACGCTTGACATGGAGGGAGCATTAAGGGCAAAATCCTGAGCTGATGTAAAGGGCACAGCTGCCTTGAAATCAATTAAGCTATGTTAACTTACAGCCTCTGAAAAGCTGCCCCCTGGTTTATAGTCAGAGTGCAAAAGGGCAGCTCTGCACCCTGAGCACCAGAGGTGCCTGGGGCAGCACCAGTTGCCTCACTGCCCATGGTAGCAGCACAGCCAACTATCAGCTGCAGCAGCAGCTAATTTTGCACCCCCACCCCCCAAAGGAGACACCCCAGGTTGCCCCCACTTCACTTACACTACTGTTTATAGCAGAACTGCTGTGCAGGGATCCCCCTTCCTCACAGCATTTCACTATGGAAATAAATTAGAGCTGCATCTCATTACTAGATAATAAAAAACCCAACAAGCTTAATTAAAAAAGAACACTGTCATGCCATCTATTGGTAACCTAGACCAGTTCAAGCTGTCTTCAATTTGTGGCACCAAACATCCTAACCATAGTGTTATTGCCATCTTCATTTCTTCTAACACTTGGCACTCAACACAACAGGGGTGCTAACCAGCTCCCCAGCCTCTGCAGTTCTTGTCAGATTTGTACAGCAGCCATGATGAGAATCAATTTCTTTACCCCTAAATAGGAAAATTTCAAACTGACACATGGATGAATGATAAAAACTGACCTGAATTCCCTGTGTTGGAAGCTGATTTCAGGTCCTGACGCCAGCTAGCCTGCTGGTTGCTGTACCACGGTTATTATTTGTATGGTGCTGAATTTGCACTGATTCTCCCCCGCCACCACTTCGTTCATCTCTCTGTCATTATTTGGCAAATCATTTCCCTGATCTGTGCACACATATAACTGGGATATGCATTCTTAACTGAAATGTCACAAGCAAACATATACAGCTCTTTGATAAATTTCTCAAGGCCTACAGAAGAAATGGCTGTAGATGCCTACCACAAATCCAGGTGCTGCTTTCAGTAGCCTGACTTTGGTATTCATTCAGGCCAGATACAGTGTTTCCACTGACTGCAATGGTTCAGGTTCAGGTCCATGGCGTGTAGGTAGCATAGGGGCAGACTAGTTACAGCAGTGTTACTTTTCACAGAATACAACCCTATGGATAGCAAAGGAGAGTTTTAACCAGCATAACTGATAGCAGGGTTCAGTCCACACAATCAAAACTGAGTAGGATAGATGAACAGCGATACATTAAAATGAGAACATAGTCCCCAATTCACATGAATTTCTCCTTGTCCAACCTGCTAGATAACACCGTTAGCTCCCCAGAGCATAATTCTGTAGATTTTTAATCTTGGAGCCAGGGGGAGAAAGCAAACAGACCATCAGATTTGCACTGTAATAAAAATGTGTGTCAAGCTGCAAATTATAGACAGCATCAAAGGCTACTCAAGGGAAAGGACACAGCTCAGCTTCCTATTTTTTCCAGTGTGAAGGGAAATAGTAAGAAGTAGCATGTCACTGTTGAGAAGAGAGGCTAGTTTACACGCAGTAAACTGTGTGTAACTGTGTCCTCACATATGCCTTCAAACTAGTCTTGTACCACTGGGCCAAACCAGAATGCATAGACGCTAGCAGCCCTCTCCTTAAATAAGTTTATCAGCATATATCCATGTAGCAGTGTGCTGAAAGACTCCCTCTTAGCTCCACACATGCTAGCACTGGCCCTAGGAGCAACAGAGCTGCATTACTTGTTCTCAGCAGGGTACACTAGCTTGCACACATTGCCTTTGTGTGGTTGTGCAGTTGGTGCTGGTGTTGGTATAAGTGCATGCAGAGCTCAGGTATCTCTGTCCATTGCTGCCTTGTGCCATATAGATGTGCCCTCAGAGCTCAGGCTGACAGACATTAGTCCCAGAGCAGAGTCCTAGCCACTACTGAAATCTCACCTACGCTCCCAAACAAGGGCGAAGCAGAAGCCAAGTCACGTGCACAGAGGTGTAATGGGGCAGCTGGGCGCCCAGGACAGTGGTGGCACAGAGGGACAGCATTGACTTCTGGCTGTGGGTGCCACCAGGGCAGTTGCATTGCTATAGCAACAACTGTTAATTTTCTGGCCCCCTCTCCTGGCTCCAGGTGAGCACCAGGGGCTGCTGCCCTGGCCACCTCTGCTTAGTTATGCTACTAGACAGTTACGCTACTGTGCTGGCTTTTCTGCACCGGGATGAATTCCATCCCCAGCATGTATAACAAAACCACAAACGAGACTCCTGGCCATTTATTTTACAGCATGTCTCTTCAGGGACAGCATCACATCTTTCTGTGTTAGTGAGAATTAACAAATTGAAGTGGCATGAAATCAGTGGAGATGCCTGGATTAGAAAGTAAAAAAAGAGTGAAGTTCCACTCACACAGGTGGGTTTTTTTCCACGGTTAGGCAGCAGCTGAGTGAGGATTTTAGACTAAGCCACTTAGAGTAGAAATGTGGCACAGATTCCAGGTTCCTTCTATTCATGTGGCCTAACTCCTAGGCACCCCCTGCTTAATACAGCTCTCCTGGGTGCCTGGACTGGAGACATGTCAGAAAGGGACCCACTGAGGCCAGGTGAGCAGGGCGCTGCCTACACTAGCCCAGAAATGCAGGAGAAAGGAAGGGTGGTAGCCCAAAACTGGACACAGTACTCCAGATATGGACCTCCTACTGCCTCAGCAAGTGCTTGAAACACTACTAAGTTGTTATATAACAAGGTGGGTACCTCCTCTACCTGTGGCCGTGTTTTTAAAAAGGTACTGGCTGTATCTGAATTTTATAGGCAGCTCCATGCTGTCAGTGAGTGTTACACATGCTCTAGTTCAGGGGCCGGTAATTATTTCAGGTGGAGGGCCACTTACCGAGTTCTGGCAAGCTGTCGAGTGCCGCATAGGTAGCCCCATCCCTTGACAGGTGCCCTGTCCCCTGTTTGCCATCTTGTGACCGGAAGTCCCACCCCCTAACTGATGACCTTTGCCACCAGAAGTCCCTCCCCTTCCCCCAGAAGTACTCCTTTCAGCAAGGGGTTTTGCCATCTTGGAACCAGAAAAATACCAAATTATATTCTAAAAAGTGAACATCTACAGCATTCATTAATTTGATTAAAAAACATATTTTTGTCCTGATTTCCATGCATTTGTGTAGTGTCCATAAAAGTGTAGTCTAAGAGGGGTGTGGGTGTATGTATATGGTAAGGTGTGTGTATGGGACTCATCCTATGAACACACATACACACACACACTACCCCTGCCTGCTCTCACACATGCACACACACACACACACACACACACACACCCACCAGCATGGCCCAATGCTCCCCCATCCAGCTATGCAGCCAGGAGCCATGTGGTGCCAGAGCAGGGCGGGGGCAGGAAGAGAGTGAAATGGCTGGGGGTGGAGCAGGGCTGGGCTGCTCAGTCCTGCTGAGGGCTCCCCCTGGGTCCTTCTGCCCCTAGCTTCAGCTTTGACAAGGCAGCCAGGAGCAAATAAATATTAATTTCCTAATTTTTTTAGGGGCCCCACAGGCTGGATAGAATGGCTTGGCAGGCCAGATCCAGTCTGTGGATTGTATTTTGCCCACCCTTGCTCTAGTTCCTTAGGAGTGAAGGCTTTGTTGTATGTTTCACTTAGGATGTGTTACCTGCGCTTAGAGCACTTATACATGAGACAGACCTGTACTCCGCAAGATTAATCAAGCCTGCTGCGAGTGTGTGGAGCGTGCTAATTAGCAAGCTCCAGCAGCCTCCACATCACATGTAGTCCGCGTCCCCATGTTTCAAAATGATGGCAGGGGTGCTTTAACTAAAGCTTGTTGAATGAGCTTTAGTTAAAGCACCTCTTCTGCCATTTTGAGGTGTGGGACACAATACACATGATGCTGCTGGCGCTTTAATTAGCACAGCTCTCAGAGTCTCTCTAATTAAAATGCCTCTCCCCACCCTCCTTCACCCTGGAGCACGTGTATAGATGCTCTTAGAGCCCATGCATTCAAGCAGGAAAACTCATGCTAAGTGCTATCATGTGGTAGTCAGGTTAGGACTTTTTGGGCACAGAATATTTCCAGATCACTGCTGGTTCCAGGGGGAGGGGAATCTAGCTGTGGGCTGGTAGCCTGTAGCCAGGTTCCCATAGCAACAGCCAGGCTCTCTGCCAGTGCTCGCTGTTTTCAGAATAGGAGGGCAGGAAAGGTAGAGAAAGGAGCCAGTTCTTCAGGCTCCACCGCTGGTGCTGAAGGGTGGGGTGGGCGAATTGGAGCCCCCCTCTACCTCAGAGCGGGGGAGCTGCAATACATCCACACCCACCCTTGGTGGGGGGGTTGAAAACCCCCTGGACTGAACTCCCTCTGCTTTCTCTCTCTGAACTAGCTCTCCCCCTCCCATTCTGAAAACAGTGACAGACTGGGAGCTCAGCAGACACAAGTTACAAAAGACCTACATTTTGTAACATCTTTATCATGCAATGTGGGGTCAGATTTTCACCCAACTGACCAGTTTTGAAGCTGTTTGCAGCCATGCATTTGTGTTTGGTCACAGCCATAAACTGCTTTTTATGACCAGATCAAAGGAAAATTGTCACTTCTGTCTGTACCCCAAATGTCTCAGGCTAGGGCAGTGCTGAGCATGTGTGCAAGCGGAAATGGAGGTGCCTGCTGTGTTTAGGCAGGCATTCTTTGGATCTCAGTTTTGGATCTAAAATCTTTTTTGACCCCTCATAGTAACAACACAGGTGAAACTAAACAGCAATGATGCACCAGCATGAACTCTCACCAAAAAAATACAAAGGACAGGGACACACACGAGGCAGTAGAAGCACATTTTTCATAGAACAACCACTCCCCATCTGACCTCGCTATCCTCATACTCAAGGGAAATCTACCAAACACATTTACAAGGCAAGCTTGGGAACAAAAATTCATAAAAAGGCTGGACACCAGGAATCAAGGACTGAACATCAATATTGATTTTATGACACTACAATCTCTCTGATTTCTGAAATTCTTCCCACACACTACAGGTGATAATTGTCCTCCTCCCTTTTGATAGGTCTTGATCCTAGTAGTAGTCAAGGTGCTTTTCTTCTGCTAATTATTTTGTTGCTACCCCTGGGAATTTCTCCCTTCTCCGATTTCACAACTCTATCTACTGTTCTTAACAATTTCTGCACTTGCCTTCCCATTCAGACCTGCGGCAGATTGCTTCGTCTAAATGCATCCTGATTATACAGTTTGCCTAATAAAATGTATCACCCCCAAAAACCCTTGCCTCTAGCATAATCCCTGGACCATCATGGCTACAGCATTACTCTTAACGCTAATGTTAGCATCTAAGTCCTTCTTTCTGGGTATTTTCCCTTGACACGTGGGAAGATACTTTTATGTAGAACATGCCCAATTCCAAGCCTCATAACACTACAAAACATCAGGAGAAATGCCTCTGCTGGCCAGGAAGTTATGGAAGTGTCAGAGGAAAACGTCTAATCTGGGGCCTCATTATTATTTATATTCTTCAAGAGGTGCTTTTTGAGAGGTACATGCTTTAACTCAGGCTTTTGTTCTAGGATGATTCTGGATTTCTGCTTTGGTTCCTACTTCGATAAGAAAGGAGTAAAACAGAAGCACTGGCACTGGCATGACTTCAGCCACCACGTTCATGCTCCTCCTTTCCAGCCCATCTCCATGAAACTCAATGTTTATATCAGCATTAAAGTTGTGGCTCAGGACCAAATTTATCTCTCATTTGTTAAAGACTCCAACAGCATCCATTTTAACATGGGGACCAGGCTAAAGGTAAGTTCCCACAACCAGGCAAGTATCAGTGCTCCAGATCTGTCTCTTATTTACCACTTCACAGGACTAATTTCCAAAGAAAAATGGTTTGACTGAGACAAGACGTCTTCTTGGAGTCCTACGAGTACCCTAAAAAAAAATCTCTATTGAGTACTTATTGCTTTATTTCAAGTTTGCAATTGCTGTTGTATAGAGCTGTCAGAAGTCTTCAGATGGAAGATGCTGTTGCATGTAAAACGAACCACTCTCTGGGGCTTTCCTGTTTGACCATTTTCAATTTACAGGAAAAGCTTTAATGTGGTTTTAAGTAAACAAGGAAGTACAGGCACTACAATGTTGTACTGTCACAAAGACATTGTGCATTTCACAATGTTTCACAATGGGACTGTAGACCAGATCAAAAGGAGGATTCAGGTGCCTAAAACAGGACTTAGGCAAACTTTTGGCACCTGACTCCAAAACTGCAGTCCCCAAACCCCTGCTTAACTGCAGGCTAACCTTGGAGGTCTCTCAGCTGACCAGGCACCTCCCTTGTTGATCTAACAGTCCCTGAAGCACCCACAGGTCTGTCTTCTGCACATGCCCAGAATTGTCCTGGTTCAAGCAGCTGGACAACACAGTGGCCATGGCCCCCAACAGATGTGAAGAAAAAAACCTCAAAACCTAGCACTTTACCAGAAGAAGCATGTTAGTTTGACCTGGCTTCCCAGCGTCTGATTCAATTACCTACTACATAAAAGTGCCAAAAAGCCCCGCTGAAGTGAGCAATCTATACAGACATTGGGCGAGTCGGGGCAGACTAATGCAATTCCTCTTCTGGTTATGTGCTGCGTTCAGTGTGGGAGTGCACCAATCTTAAAGCACTGTTTTCTTTCCACATCTGTAAGCAGCCTGGGTGGCTTGCTCTGAGCCTGCCTAACACACCACCTGCATTGGCTTCAGCGCAGAATAGGGCAGCCATAGCTAATCTCTTTTAAGAGCACCACTGTAATGATGGTGGTGGCATGGCCGAGAGCTAAGTGGTAAGAGCACTCTCCCAGGAAAAGGGAGCCTCAATTTCTAGAACCCCTTCAGGATGAAAGGATTCAAACCCACATCTCCCACCTCTCAGAAACACTTCTAAACAGCCAGCTATACAGTGTACCAGGTGAGGGCCTCCTCCAGCCCTCCTGTTGAAGCTGAAGGAACAGAAGATCCCAGAGGTGAGGAGAGCCAGCAAGGAGGAACGTGACTGTATACTACCGGCTACGGTAGGGGTGGGCAATTATTTCAGCTGGAGGGCCGCTTAATGAGTTTGGCAAGATGTCGAGGGCACAAGGGCAGCCCCACCCCTTGACAGGTACCCCGCCCCCTGGTCACCATCTTGGGACCAGAAGTCCCACCCCTAACCCCTGACCTTTGCCACTAGAAGTCCCTCCCCTCACCCTGAAAGTACTCCATTTGGGAAGTATTCCATTTGGGTTTCCCATCTTGGAACTGGAAAA